GGGCCCTTCGCCGTTCCCGGAAGTTACTTACTTCCGGGTTCACCGACCAACCGGTTCGCAGGGACCGCCGCGAACCAGTTGAAACCCACCCCTGGGTATAACTCACTTTTTTCCCCAGTTCTGTTGTAAGGGAAATGAACTGTTGTATGCCGAGGGCTACCTGTGTAAGCCACTTATATATGTGGCATGATACGTTCCAATGAGATGGCAGCACTGAGCATAGGAAGTTTCATTTATACCTGATAGCATTCATGACTTCAAGATAAAGAGGCATGAGGAAGCAAGAGGGCTGGGAACCTTTGCTGCAGCACCGGAGATTGTAAGGTGGAAAGTCTCAGAGTTTCAATCAAGACCCACTGAGCTCTTCCCATCCTGTAACTCCTCCGACTTTGAGCTAGTGACTCGCAAGTTCTTGAGGCCACCACCTACGTCAGTGATGCCGAACCTTTTCGACACTGAGTGCCCAAAAGGGAGCACTTCACGCTTGTCTGGGCCGTGACCATGTGCACACCGAAAAATAAACTTACGGTTTCTGGCTCATGCATGCGGCAGCGACCCAGGCCTGCCACGGCCCCCAAACCGGTTCTCTTGTTTTTTTGCTTCTGTGCATGCGCAGAACAATTCTTATTGTACTGCGCGTGCATGCGTGACATACCGTCGAGCAAAACGGCAGTAGTTCCTGCCGGAACTCACTCCTGGTAGAGGGCTAATCCTATCCTGTCCTGGGGGCCATTTCTTAATCTCATCACCCTGGAACTGAAGAGGAGGGGGGCAGGGAGCTGCTTTGCCTTTAAAAACATGTTTCTCCTTTTCTCATCCAGGGAAATATAATATTCTGCCTTTTTAATATTTCCCAGAATATTTCACTCTTCTTGGAAGGGGTGGGTGCTAAGCAGTGGTGAAATTCAATTTTTTTTCACTACTGGTTCTGTGGGCAAGGCTTGGTGGATTTGGCAGAGGAAGGATAAGACAAAATCTCCATCCCCATCCCACTCTGGGGCCAGCCAAAGGTGGTANGTACCGGACTGTTTGTATGATTATGGACTATGTTATTTGGTTTATCCCTTACCTGGAAGGCGTTGATGGTTGACTGTCTTATCCGTGTATGACTTGGACTGTTTGATGGACTCTGATACCTCTATTTCCATGAAAGTAGAAGCCTGTTTAAATACAGTGTCTCTGTATGCTGGTTTGTGTGTTCTCCAACACCACTCTCACAACGCTTCTCTGAACGCACTCGCTCTCCCAACGGGGAGCTTACCTAATAGATAGCACTGTGCAGTTTCTCCAGGATTATGCTCTTCCTCAAGTAAAACAACGGCATAATTTCTCATTCCAATCTTTTCTCCCCCTTTTCTTCACAGCCGCTCTGACCTACAAGTGCACAGGAGACCAGTGGGCAGTTTATTGCCGAGTCATCCGGGAGAAGAACCTTTGCCAGGACATGAGATGGTACCAGCGCTGCTGTCAAACCTGCAGAGACTTCTATGCAAGCAAGATGCAGCAGAAGAGTTAATGAAATCTGCCCAGGCTCCTTAGGGAATTATAGCTCATTTGTACTTCTTCCTACGAATATATCATTAACTTATGGAACTCGTTGCCACGAGATGTGGCGATGCCTATTTCAGCTTAGATTAGATAAATTTATAGGGGAATTGGGTTTATTGATGGCTAATGGCCATGACAACTAATTATAGAGTCTCTCTGGAGAGAGGTCATCTACTTTTGAAATGCAAGTGCTAATGATATCACATTGGATTGGAAAACCATAATCACCTTTTCACATGGCTGAACGTTTAAGAAGAAGCTTGACAGAGATGGACTTTGGTTTGATTCAGCAAGGTCAACCGCATCCAAAAATGGCAAACCCAAATATCTGTTTTATTCCAAACACAAGTTACTCACCACCAATGAATCCCAGGGCCTGCCTAGAAAGACTTGAAGCTCCCTTTGCAGACTGGATGGATGAATGCGTGACCACCACAATAGCAATGGCACTTAGACTTATATACTGCTTTACAGTTCTTTACAGCCCACTCTAAGCGGTTTACAGAGTCAGCCTCTTGCCCCCAACAATCTGGGTCCTCATTTTACCCAGGATGGAAGGATGAGTCAACCTTGAGCCTGGTGAGATTCAAACTGCCAAATTGCAGGCAGCCAGCAGAATAGCCTGCAGTACTGCACTCTAACCACTGCGCCACCACAGCACAAAAAGAAAAAAAATTCATCTCAAAAACCAATCCTGTAGAATGTTATGATACTTTTGACATGGCTAAAAAAATTTTTGTTTTTGTTTCATTAATATATAGATTATTGCAAGCCACTGGATGGCTTGTCACCATTTTCTACTTTTTATTTTTTAAGGAAAAGATTCAGAGAGCAATTAAATTGACTGAAGGTGTACGTACCTCTGCAGATAAACCTGTGGTGAATAATATCTCTGTCTACATCTCTGGATGGAGGCCGGATGATTTGAAAGGGAAAAACCATTAATGAAATGAAATCTTATATATAAGTTTACTAAAAAGCAGCAGACGAATGCTTCTGAAACTTCTGAAAGAAATCTACTGTAGCCACTCAAACCTCCACTAAATATAATTTCACGGATTTTTTTTAAAAAAAAACCCTAATTAATAGCCATCTTTTGTCTCTCACCTAAAATATGTGTATTTATATTATTTTTCTCTCTCTGGGCTGGGGGTTCTGTTTAATATTTTAGGCTATTATTTTAGGCTGCAGTCCCTGGCCTCAGCTAAGATGGGAATTCTGATAGTGGTAGCCGAATGCCTCTGAAATACAGCAATAAATCAAAGATAAATTAATCATTTTGTACACCCATATTGAAATACTTTATTACACAGCCAATAAGTTAAAACCAGATCATGTTTATAGGTTTTGCTGCCTGTCAGTCCAGGCTCAGAAACTGTGGAGAAAATGCATCTGATCCAATAATGTGCATTTGGAAGAGTGTAGTTGTATAAACCACTATTCAGGATGGTCCTTGACTTAGAACCACAATTGAGCCCAAAATGTTTGTTGCTAAGTGAGACAGTTGCTAAGGAGGTTTTGCCCCATTTTACGACCTTTCTTGCCACCGTTGTTAAGTGAATCCCTTGTTAAGTTACTACATGTTTGTTAAGTGAATCTGAATCCCCCACTGACTTTGCTTGTCAGAAAATCACAAAAAGTAATCATGTGATCCCGAGACAACGGCAACCGTATTAAGTACATGCCAGTTGCCAAAATGCGTAAATTTTGATCATGTGACCAGGGAGATGCTGCTGCTGCTGCTGCTGCT